AGGTGCAGCATCCCCCACCATCTCCCCCACTGTCGCCCTCTCTCCCCCCCCCCCCCCTCTCTCTCTCTCTCTCTCTCTGTGCTCGCTCCTGTATTCAGGCAGCCACAAGATGGTGGTGTGGATATCTGGATGTGGGTTTTGCGAAAGTAACAGAGAGACAGGAGAGTGTGCATGTTGTTGAGTAAGACTTGTCCTCTTTATTGAAGCTTTGAAGTGTTCTCACTGGGTGGTGGCAGACAATGTGTCCCCTCACTCATGCTGCTCCATGTTGGAATGACCTTGTGTTGGTTGGTGTGAACACACACTTGGCCCAGGATAGAATCCTGATGTTTTGACTTATTTCTGAAGTTTTCTGATCAGGTGAGGAAATCCACCTCAGGCTCATATTTAAGGTTCAGTGGAAGGAGATTCCCTAAATCCTGCGTCGTTGGTTTAATGTATGTTGGATAGACATCTGTTGTCCCACAGCAGCGATGTGACCTGCAGAGTTCCTGTATGTTCATTATTCTCATCTGTTTTTCTGTGAAAGGTTTCACAGGAAGAAGCTAATGCTGCCCACTGTTCCATATTTGTCCCTGCTCTGAGAACCTTTCTGAGACAGAAGTGTTTCTGCAGCTTTAGAACAACAACAACACAAAAAGCTTTGATATTTTATGTTACTAATACCTGTCATTCAGGTGACAGTGAGAACACTCGGCCAAGGTCTCATATTTGTTATTGTCCTCACTGTTCCCCAGGATCAGTCAAACGTTGTTGGACTGCAGGACTTTCAGACTGTTTAACAGGGCTTCTCTATACAACGTCTTAAGTTTGTGCAGCACATATTTCTTCAGTAAAAAAAAATACTGTGAGGATTATTATGAAAGAACACTGGACTGCTGTGTTCACAGCCATCCACATAAAAGTGACCGTAGATGCAGTCGATGGCTGTTTTTGGACTTTATAAGCAGGAATCAATAGTGTTTTCCACTCCAGATACCATATTGATAACTGGACTTTGCATTTCTGCTGATATTAGATACTGATCAGAAACCATTGTTGAATTACTAAACTCTTTACCTCTTTTTGGTCATTGCCCACTTTGAACAAGTGGGGATTTCAAAGACTCTTTGTTAAGCGCTAACCTGTACGTAGCCTGCAGATCTCAAACATGGAATTTGTGTTACAGGTTGGTTTGACAGAATTGTCATGTTGACAGATCTCTAGTCAATATTTGAAAGATAGCCAATGATAATATTAGATGGCAAAATCCTGGTCTTTCGCTCATGCAGTTGCATTGCACTTGTAAGGATGTTTTGAGCATGTTTACTATGTGAAAAGCTTCACCGTAACACGGTCCCTACAAAGTTATCCATTGCAAACACCAGGCTACATTTGCAAACCACACCTTAGTCTTCCTTCGACCAAACCTTCTTGGCTAATTCGTCCAAGAGGAGGTTCTTCTTTTTCTATGCATCCCAATTTCTCAGCCTCAAATACAAACCAGACACTTCTGTCCTTAGTCCTTCTGCGCTTCATCCACACTTCAAACCAGTCCTGACTTTGGTGTTTATATACTTCCAGGAAGCTCAGGTCTGCATGTGGATTTGTCACACTGATGATCACATAAATCCATGTCTTCCTCTGCTGCAGCACAGCAAGGACTTGTTCCAGTGCAGTGTCCTCAGCAAAGAGCAAAAAGGAAAAGTAAATTCACACCTGGACAAGTATTTATAGAGCGACATTCAAATGTCGATGTAATCCCTTGACTGAGGAGCTAGACTACCATGGCATGTATTTATTCCCTGTTCAATCCCTGTCCAATTCCTGTCACAATCTCTATCCAATCAACTGCCCCTGCTGCACCCGCCCTGCCTGACCCCTGATTTGTGATTATTCCACAACAGTTGTCATTCACTCTTGTCACACTGCATCCTTCAAATCAGGATTACAGTCGTGATGTTGGAAATGAAAGTCAAATCGTGTCCCCTTGTCAGTCATGTGCTCCTCCTGCATGCTTCAGATATTAAAGATTTCTAGGAAACATGCAATATTTGAGCTGTAGGGAATTTGTTTGTTTTTCCTCACTTTCCTTGAGCCGCATCAGTCAAAGCCTGCAGCCATAGAGAAATTATTGTGAATATTCATAGACCATATATAAGACATGGGAAATAAATGTGATGTAGCCATGAGTGAATTTGACTGAAAAGTTTGAAGGAAAAAGTTTTCACAGCTGATGCCATCTCATTTTACACATCGTTCACCAAAACCAATTCTAAAATACATCAAACGTCATCATTGAATGTCAACCTCATTTATTATGTGTATATTGTGTGTTTTCAAAAAACATGTAAACATATTTTATACCTTGAAACAGAAGCACAAGCATTTCACAAATACATTTTGTTCACATCTTGTTCATACAACATGTTACTTTTAAGTTCCTAGTGCAGAAAGGTGTGTATTTGTGTTTAAGAGAGATAATCGAAAAATTAAAAAACAAAAATCAGAGTTGCTTTAGTTGTTTTGCTGAAAGTTAAGGATGTTGCTGTGATGATTGGGAAAACTCCGACAACATTTGTTTTAACAATTTTTGACTCTGGGTAACTGAAATGTAATAATTTAATTAATATATGACAACATATATTTGTACTATTCATCCTGGTGTTTTTGTCATATCATCAGCCACCATATAGCCTATATATAAATACATAAATAAATGAATAAATAAATAAAGATTTTTAATGAATAAAATATTTATAATTATTACAGTGAAATTTCAGCCAGTCCTTTAATGTACACTGATGAAAGATTTACGTCCATATATGTAAGAGAAAGTGGACACACACACACACACACACACACAGACTGTGGAGAGCCATAGAGCTAGCTTGAATGTGCTCAACTAAAGAGCAGACGAGTGCTCATTCACATTCACCAACCTCAGCTCCCGTCGTCACCTCAAACTTACCCCACTGACATCTCACCCTTCACTCTGGGGCTGTGAGAAATATGTGTGTCAGGCCCACCAGAGACAGACGAGCGGGAGATTCACAAGGCCCAGACGCCGTGTCACCCTGCTGTCTGAAAGTCTGCTCTGACCAGCTGGCCTGCATCTTTTCCTCAAATCTGCAACAGATCTCTGTAACTGTGCAAAGTCTCCCGTTGTCCTGCTTTCATGGACTGTGCCTTTGTAAACGTGACACGTAGAGAGGTTCAGAGTGAAGCTGTTCTGTTGGTCAATGTTTGTCACAATTAAGCATGTCACTTCCCTTTCAAGTCAGTAGATGGTGCTAAGAAGTTTTTATTTTACTTTAAGTTGTTTCCCAACTTTTTTGAGTCCCCCCACCAAAATAAAAATATCCTAAAACTACAAGCAATAAAATTAAATAATAATTTAGGTTTAATTCACTAAAATATATCTGGGCCTGTTTAGTTGAACATAACGCTGGTATACTTGCAGGAATTGAAGAAAGACTCTGAGTCTCCCTCATTTTCTAGTTCCTGCTGCCACCTTACGGAAGTGTATTACATTGTTTCTGTATGTCACAGGTGTTTCCTTTACTTGCAACAAAAGAGAAAATAAATGATAGTAGAATTTTGTATTTTAGTAGAATATGTATCCTCCCTTCCTTTACATTGATGCTAATAGTTCATTTATAATAATTCACCATTTACAACAATGACAGCATACTTGCCAGTAATCTTCACAGTAAAAGGTACTATATGTATCTGTAGTATTCTTGCTTTAGATTCGGAAACGTGCCTTCTGCATTTGTCAGGATTTGCCCTGGAAATTGTCCAAAATTTCGCCTAAACATTACACTTTACGGAAACACATTGTAATTTTCTACCCTTTCTACCCTAACACTGCTTCCTACAACATCCTGGCGCTGTACATGCAATTATCCTGTTGGTTGACTTTGGCATTATTCCCACTTCTCCTCTGATCAAATTTGCCCAGCTCATTGTTCCTCCTTCAGCTGTTACAAAGAATACCAACAAGCTGAGGGACTAGAGCTGGGAAATATAATTTAAAAAAATTAATTGTAAAATATAATAAATCATATATTATTAAATTAACAATGACATGAATAGAGGAGAAGTAAAAAATACAATTTAGCCCGATATTTTAAATTATATATTGCGGCCTGGATCCTGATCTTCAGGTCGCTTATTATGACTATAGATCCAGGCTTTCTTTTCCACAAAATATTGCTCACATAATGTTTTCAGTTGTTATGTTAAAAGATAAAGGTGCATTGATAAATGTGTGGTTGCTGCTAATTAAACAAAGTTCAAACAGCTTATCTTATCAACTTCATGTTTTCTCAGGCTAGTTTCCTTTGAGTCCTCCCTTCCTTCAAACATAAACAATATTTTGGTCCAGTGGTTTTGGTTTTTCTCATCTGGCATCAGTTGATCTGCGTTGGGTTCATCTTATCTTTCTACAGGTCATTCTCAGCAAAGTTCAGTCTATGCTTTTGTATTCCTAGTTTTCCAAATAATTATTTTTAACACTGTACTAATTTTGTCCTGTCTCTTTGAATTTTTGTAATTTTTTAAATAACAAATAACAGCAAGGGTTAAATAAACCCCTTTTTTATGCATTTTTTTTTTAATTTTTGACTATATTTTAACCAATGCATTTTAGTCATGCATGTAAGGATGTTTTCTATAAGTATTAGAACATGGAGTTAGTTTATGTTTGGTCTCAGTGGTGTTTGTGCGGCTCCAAGAGACGTAGAAATATTCTGTAGTCAGTAACGGCAACAGGAAGACCTATAGAAAAAAATCTACATTCTTTGACAAACATCCATCAGAAAATGACTCAGTGTTCCTTACAATTGTGTTCTAGGATGTATCACAGTGTGATAGGTGTCGTAGTTACACATTATTTTGACTTTATTTAACAGCAGTTGCACCTGGCAGGTGGGTAGCGTTTCATGCTGTGTTAAATGGAAATTCATGTGTCCACGCAGTAGTAATGTGTACTGAAGGTGGCCTCAAATTTTTGATGGTATAGTAGGAGGTTTCTAAGGACACAATCGGGGCATTTAAAATGTTTACGTCTCCCTGGATGTATGTATGTTAGTACCGCGGTTACAACCGGCTCTAAATGTGGTCTTAAAGACGTAACTGCAGCAGCATTGTAAACATCTATAACCCGGCAGTAATGTGCTGTAGCTTTAATAAATGCTGCCATTGTTTCAATTCAGACCATTCATTTTTCTAAAGAAAACAAGCGGTACATGAAAAGAACATATTTTACACACATGTATTATGAACTGTTTATGCAGCCAATTATGGACTGCAGTGGTTGAAGGTGTGTGAGGCTCTTTATGGTCAAGAGCAGGACACGTCGCCACTGACAGAATCATTTTAAAAATGATTGAAATGCTAATGACAGAGTGCGCCTTCATTGGTATTCATGACAGTTATAGCCTGCCATCATTAAGATCGAGAACAATGTTCTTCATCTTCTGTGCACCTCCGCTAATAAAAGTGCTGCTGCTGTGGCATCTATTCAAACCCTGGGCCATTTGAAGGATATTTGATCATAAAATGCAACATTAGCACAGATACTGTACAGCTTGTCGCACAAAGACCTGCGTGGCCTCCCTCAACAGTGTTCACACATGCATTTTACGTGTGCAGAGCATTGATCAGGTTTTATAAACAACAACTAAGAACCTTTGTGAGGTGACTGATTTATTCATCTATAGTGTGTTAAATTGTATAGTATAGTATAGTATAGCATAGTATAGTATAGTATAGTATAGTATAGTATAGTATAGTAAAATAACTAATAGTATATATGGCAATAACACCTTCTCTTGTTCTCATAAAGACCTGAAAACGCAGTAAGCAAAGTGGAAATTAGGAGACGTATTTGCCTCAGGTTGTGCTAGTTGTCAGAGTGTTGCCATGGAAACACTTTGCAGGTAGGAAGGAAAACATTTCAGGTGTAATTAGTTGGTACACAGTGTTGCATACTGGACAATTTTAAGAAGTATCCAGACACAGCGAGAGGCCTTACCAAGAGCTGTGTTTGGAACATGGATTTGAAGATCGTAGCCTTAGTGATGTCATCCACGAGCAGCACATGCATCAGCAGCGTAAACACCAGAGCCAACAATAAGATCTAAAAAGATTTGTCCTCAAAGTGAAGAAGCCTGCAGGCTGGCAGATCTGTTCTGGAGCAGAAGACACAGCAGTGGTCTGAAGAGAGGGAGATTCCTGGCACCGACATGTGTTTACCACCAGGAGGCCAATAACAAACTGTCCAGGAGTGTCGGAGTGAGACCGTAGTCTAAGCAGGGGAAGAGAGCAGCCGTAAACACAAGAGACTGCTACAAAACAACAACTGATAGCATCCTCACACCGATGTTGGATAGTCGACTGGCGGAAGTCCAGCAGAGCAGAGGAGTCCGGTGTCACCTGTGCCAGACAGACAGTGGGTTGGCTTCACACTGCAACCCAAAACGTTTACTCTTTCAGATACTGTATGTCTGTCTTCTTTACACACAGGTAGAGTTGAGTGACATATTCTGATTTATTTGGTCTGGATGGAACTACAGACATTCAATTACAGGCAGATTTCAAGCTGTCATTGGTGATTTCATGGTGTGGTTTTGGGTTTTTTGATGCAGGAAGTTGCCTTGTTTCCCTGAAATTTTGTCCAATCTGAAGTGAACATTTTTTGGTTATTTTCCTTTTTTTTATAATTTACATTGAGAATGGATACATGTGCTCCATCTAATGTTTGATTGGCTTAGTATTTAATCCATAATAACAAGGTACAATATGTTTATAAAGGGTACAAAGAACACAACTTGAAACATTACATGTAATTAAAAGGGGGAACTTCAAACTTATAGCTGCTCAGAGCTTCTCAGGAACTTAATAAAGGGCTAAAGGGCTAATAAAGGAATAAAGGGCTAATAACAAATCATAATCACTTTTTGGAATACCCTGGTGATTTTTTAAAAAAAAACCCAAAACAAATTAATTAAAAAATAATCACAAGACCTTAGGGCAGTGGGAGATCCAAGAGGAAATACTTTAATGGTGTTTGTGTTTATAGAGTTAAATAGCCATAAGGCACCTCCAAGCCTGCAATACCTCAGCCAGTCAAACTGTAAATAAAGATGATTTTTAGAGAAAGCACTAGATAATAATAATAATAATAATAATAATAATAATAATAATAATAATAATTTGTAATTTTTTGGTAATTGAACACAGATTTACATTTCAGGAACATTCATTTATTTGTAGATCATTTTGTTAACGTCCGTAAGACAAGCTGAAGTAAGAGAAGACGTGAAGCCTGATTAGTGAACCTCTAAGACTGGTACCAATCACAGCGCAGCTGGTGTCTCATATTGACCTGAATTAAGAAATGGACAAAACACAGATAAAATGCAGCTTGGCAACATTTTTGTCTTNGTTCTTGTTGTGATATGTTTTAAAGGAACCAGAATATTTGACCAGATCAATGCATCTGTAGGGAGCGCTGGTTGAAATGAGTTTCAATGTATCCAGTTTAAAGCTAAAAGAAACTTGGGCTTCAACCAATGAAACTCAAGAACTTATTCAAGTGTTCAGATCAATTTAATACTGAATAAAATATCTTAAAAAAAAAAAAAAACTTTTATTCTGGCAGGTACACCCTAATTCTTCTTACTTGACTTCTTGTGACTCAATTTGTGTTTCTTTTTTTTTTTTCTGCTTCTTTTCAGATTTTCCTATCAAGTTGCAGACCAGGAGACCAGACCCTCTTCTGCTGTGGCTAAAAGTGGAATAAAGCAGCCACAGTAAGTCTTCATTCAGGCTCTCAGAATGGGGAGCTCCGAGAAAGCCATTTGGCTGAAGTGAAGCAGGAGGGAGCACCAACTCAGTAGAAGAAGGGGTCGGGGGGAGGGCCAAGTTGAGGATTCCTGGTTGGACCATCACCACAGCCTGCCTGGTTCAGGCTCGGCACAGTAGGAGTATGTCGGTCTTAAGAGCCCAGTCATGGATGCCTCGCTCCACTACCAGGGCCAGCTTCCTGCTGTGGGTGGGGCTGACGTCCATCTACGTGGCCCCAGTCCAGGGCCAGCAGCACCCAGTGGTCACTACCAACTATGGGAAATTGCGAGGTGTGAAGGTTACTTTACCTAACGAGATCCTGGGACCTGTGGAGCAGTATTTGGGAATCCCGTATGCTTTGCCACCAACAGGAGAGCGTAGGTTCCAGGCCCCAGAGCCACCCTTGTCCTGGCCGGGCATCAGGAACGCCACTCAGTTTGCTCCAGTTTGTCCCCAGTTCTTGGAGGACCGCTTTTTACTCAACGACATGCTCCCCGTGTGGTTCACTGCCAACCTGGATACACTGGTAACCTACGTGCAGGAGCAGAGTGAGGACTGCCTCTACATGAACATCTACGTCCCCACTGAAGACGGTAGGTCAAAAAACATCTGTGCTCTTCATGAGTATTTCTCTGTCCTCCTTTATGTTTTGTTTAAGGCCGCACGTTAGCTTCTGTAAATTTACTCTATTCAAAAATCAATCTCTGCTGCTTTTCAAATGTCCCGAAGTGTGCTTGCACTAACCCTGGACCCTTCTATTAATTACCAACTTCTGCCTTTAGAGGTCACTGAGAGCATTATTATAATCTGTTATGCACTTTTAAAAGGATACCTGTGTAGTGGTTCCATACAGTAGTGGTTAGAATACTTGCTGTGTAAGCAGAGAGGAACCAGATATCCCTAAAATTCAAAGCCAAATCTAAACTCTATGAGGCTTACTAAAGTCCAGTACTCCTGAGTTTGGTGATACCCAGGAGTGTGATCAGGCTGTGTGTATCTCTTTTCACCAGGACACTATGTGAAGCCTGAATAAACACATTGACTTTGGCTCCATGCCCTGTTGCTGGTCACTAAATGTTTTTCTCCAACCTAGATGGAGGAAATGTTGCGTCAGGTTACATGAACATTTGTGCCAAACCACAGATGTTGATCTGCCATGGTGACCTTAGAGAAAGGGCAGTGCCGTCAGTGATTCTTTGTCTCATTTAATCTTAAAAAAGTATATTTTATATATATATATATATATATATATATATATATATATATATATATATATATATATATATATATATATATATATATATATATATATATATATATATATATATATATATATATATATATATATATATATATATATATATATATATATATATATATATATATATATATATATATATATATATATATATATATATATATATATATATATATATATATATATATATATATATATATATATATATATATATATATATATATATATATATATATATATATATATATATATATATATATATATATATATATATATATATATATATATATATATATATATATATATATATATATATATATATATATATATATATATATATATATATATATATATATATATATATATATATATATATATATATATATATATATATATATATATATATATATATATATATATATATATATATATATATATATATATATATATATATATATATATATATATATATATATATATATATATATATAAAGATTCTGTTTCACAAAGGCAATTATTTGCTATTACTTTATATGTGGCTCTATGTATGGACAGGCAAGTCTAGTCTATCCTGCCCTGGCCTTTGACAGCTGCGATGGGCTTCAGCACTCCACGACTCTGCAAAGGAATAAGTAGTGTGGATGTAGATCCCTCTGTTCAAACTTTATTAACATGACGCTAAGCATATGATGTTTACTGTTTTTTCTTGCAATTGCATTGCTTAATAAGTATCGCAATGTATCGTGTTTTTGCCTCGTAATCGTGATATGTACTGCCATAGTATTGACAGTACACACCTATAAAATACCAAGTATATAACAAAGCTGTCAGTGAGTAAGTTTAGCTTCAAAAACATCAGCTGATTCTTTTGTAAAAGGAGCTCAGATAATTTATTTCACTCCGTCCCTGCTGGCAGCAGCCTCCTCTGTGTGTTCTGTTAAAAGCATGAGTATGTGTGTGTGTGTGTGTATGTATGTGAGTTTGCTTCTGTGTGTGTGTGTTGTCCAACACGACCTGGAGTGTTTGGAGGTCAGTGAGAGCAGGGTGACAATGCAGACAAACAACAGAGGCACATCAATGTCTGTGTGTGTCTGGCAGAGATGTTTGACAGCTCTCTGCTAAATTTACTTTGAGCTCTTGAGAAAACAGTAGATTAAAGAGTGGGAAAAAACTGCAGGATAGTGAGGGATAATCTCCCAGTCCTTCTTTGGAGCACGGTCTCAAATGATTCAACATCCCCTTAAAAACAAAGAGTATTTTTCTTCTCTGGATGCAGCGTATCAGCACCAACACTGCTTTAGGTTAAACGCCTTTTGGCTTCTTGAGTTTTCCGTACATATATTTTTCCAAACAATGACCAATCCAAGAAGCAGCCAGGAAAAAGTGTTTTTCCATTAAACTTTCATTTATTTCTATAAAGTGGTCTGTGCCAAGCCTGTGTCGTGATGACACACATTTCCATTACAGCCTCAGAGCAGATAAGAGCCGTGCACATGATCATATCGTGTTGCTGCTGTCCCACAGGGACAGACGCAGACATTCTCCCACAGTCACGGCAGGATGTACAGTTTTATTACTTATCATGATTTCTTTAGTTCTTCAGTTTGGCCATAAAAAATGGCTCAAGTCTAGTGATGTCCAATATTAACTTTTTGCCGATATCCAATATGCCGATATTGTCCAAAAACTTAATTTCCGATTCCGATATTTATAGATACAGGTATATGCCGGTATATGTTTAGGGCATACATAATTTGGGCAAAACTCATTGCATTATCATAGGTGTTATGTTACCGGGTTTAATTCTGATAACGATTGTTACCAATATTATATATTTAAGCTAATATCTTTTGGCTGATATTATTGGACATTCCTACTCAAATTTCATCCAAACAAAACTGTAGTATTTTGCTTCAAATGTATGCAATTTGATTTTAACAATAAATCAATGTCACAGCAGATGCCAGAAGTCCACTCTAACAATTTAGAGCAAAGTTACGGGTTTCACAAATTCTGTTCATGTATGAAAAGAGCATCAACCAATGGCTCAGTCTTGGAAACCACTCAAGGTTAATATAAGGAGAAAATGGCCGTGGATGGAAATGTCATGATAAACCTTCAAATGCCATTTGCTGATTTTATGTCTTTTAGGGAGATAAAAAACATGATATCTATTCAATAAATCACATTTACATTTAGATGAAAGTAAGAGCAAAGGTTCAGAGTGACGGCAAGTACAGTTTGTGTGCATTATTTCCTATTGAGGAAAATATAGTGACACAACTATACAAATACATGTTTATATATGTATATATGAATATATATTTAAAGATGTATATATACATATATTTGGATAATTAAATATATAAAATATACTCTACATAATTTGCATATATACATATATACATACACATACTATATATCCTTTTGCAATGGTTTTTGAACAAAGAAAAAAATATTTAAAAAATAGGTATTATGTTGACAGCAATTTTATAAACTAGAATAAACAAAATCTAATGAAAATTTAGTAGAATAAAATGAAATAAATTTAAATATGTTTGTGTGCATCCTCTTCCGTCTTCTTCTACTACCAGCCAACAATATATTCATTTATGGACGTCGCAGGACTTGTGGTGTCGTGTGAAGAGATAAACCAGAAACGGCCAGTCTCCAGGGTCCTAACTAGGTGATATAAAGTGACACATCAGTCTCAGTGAGACAGTTACAGCTCTACTCAGTGTCCATCACCTGTATATCCTCAACGTTGTCCTTTTCCTATATCTGCAGTAATGTTATAATATCCTGCCAGGCCGTGGATCAGGAACAGATTTATAGTTTCTGCCGAACCTCAAGTGGGCTGACAGATTAAGCTCTCCTTTGTCATCCGATTTGAAGTTGAAATCCATGATGGCCTCCCCTGAGCATGCTAAAATGACTTCATTGTCGTAGCCTTTTTAAATTTCCGGCTCAGTCTCCGTGGATGTGCAGACAGGGTGGTGCCTGTGCAGATGAATAAAAAGAGCTTAGGGCATTTCATCTGCACAAAGAGGAGTGGAGGGAGATAAAAGTGAGGTTAGTTTGGGTCAGCTAGAGTCTAAACCAGTGCACATCTAAGTCTGTCCATGTAAAACATGGTAAACACAGAAACATGGAGAAAGATGTTTCCACAGTCTACAGCAGGCATGGGCAATCTACTACTAACCCATTTGGCTCTTTAATCCACTTGTCCAATTTATGTTACTAATTTCTATCATTGTTATACTTCTGCCTTTTCCCTGCAATGTCTGCATTTCTCCAATAGATGACATAGACGAGCCTAAAAGCATTTTAGCATTTTAACCTTTGTGTTACATGTCATTTGTCTTAGTTCATACCCATTGTGGCCCACGAGTCTTACAGGGGACTACAGTTCAGAGGACTACAGTCTTACTGCAGAGTCTGTAGCTGTTCTTATGATGAGGACAGGACTAAAAATATAATAAATACAAGATTAATTTATGGTTCAAAGTTGACTAATACAGTTGTGCCTTACCTGCTAACAAACACTCCACATGTACATTATTCAGGATGCAGCGTCTGTTGTGTAGTACAGACAAGGATTTGTTCCAAGGCTGCAATTTAAAACTGGCATTATTTGGAGAAAAAAAAAAAAAAAGCTTAAGACTGCAATTTCCCAGAAGCTATTGCTGTTCAGTTTTATTTACCTGTAGCCTTACGCCAAGTACATCAAGTGATTCTGCAACTATGTTGAAGGTAATGTCAGCACTTCCTCTTTATTTGATGAAACCAACGGTCCAGACCTGTACTTTGACAACCCTGTATCTGAGGAAATTAACCCGCCCATCATAAACTCGATGAAATACTGCTCAATATTGTAAAGAGAAAAAATTGGCTCCTTTTAGAGCGAGGGTGTCGTAAAAGTTCTCCAGACTTGGGAAAATGCTTTTGTAACTAGTGTTTGTGTAATAAAGTGTTCATTTAGTTCAAATTGTTTCTGTTTTCCAGGTAGCAGAATTTGAAAATTAGTGACATAAAAAACCTAAAACATAAAATTCATTATTTTATATTAACCAAATAATTCTGTATAATGTAGCTTTGGAGTTTGAGCCACCAGAGGGAACGCTGCATTTCAAAGAAAATACTAAAAATCCCTCAAATAAACTTGCATATAAAATAATTGTGTAATAATTCAAACCAAAAATAATTAGTGATAAATCATGATTCATCGTGATTGTAAATGAACATGAATAAGCAAGTAAAATCAACATTCTGTGAGTTGCTGAAGTAAACAAACAAACAGATGTTTTTCTTGTGTGACACACACCTGTTTTTATTTGTGACTGATTTGAATAATGGTATAAATAATATGGAAAAAACAAGCATAATTCAAAATGTAGCTAAATGTAGTTGCTTTCAAAATGTCGGTGAAGCCGATGTCCTCAACAATATTATTCAGTGTACAGTCGCTCACAATCCACCTGGTAATTGTGTCAATCATCTTGTCAGCTGTAGACTTACCTATTGTCAAGCCTGTCATCTGACTGGAAGTTGAAGCCTCTAGACACACACACACACACATACACATACTCACGGAACTCCTCCATTCCATGCGAATGATGATGTGTGTATTGGCTGTAAGAGCATTGTCAAGATGAACTATTGCATTAATTGAAATACAATGTGCCTCATTCTACTCAAGCCTTAAACTTCATTTAAACATAATAAGTAATAAGATTAATCTTCATGAATTATTACACACCATTATTACATTATGACAGCCCTAAATTATATATTATACACTTTATTTGTTTCGCAATGCAAGTGATCGCCCCTCAGTGGTAGAAAAAAATATTTCACGATTGGTGTATAGCACAGAGCACACCTAATGGATGGTGCTGTACATCTCCTCCAGAAAATGGCAATTTGATAAATGACACCACCAATTCATGACACAAATCAGTAACTTAGATGAGTTCTCTCTCATTGATTAAAAAAATATTTTAAAACAACCATATGGTTATATTTTTGTTTTTCTAATGCTTCTCTAACACCAACATGTCCTTTTCAGCAAGACAAACAAACTATAGGCTATTAAATGGACTTGCATTTCTTCCTAGTTCTTTTCAGAACCTACTTATGGGGAAACATCTGTGACGTTACTGCTTCACTTCTAGAAACATTAGTCTTATGTTTCAAAACTGACATTGAGCAGATGATGTAACTGCACAGCAATAATGAAATTACTTAGGACCGTGCCAAGGGAGAACACAGCCATCCGTCATATTAGAATTTACTTACTGTCCTCCATAAAGTCCTCTGCTTTTTTCTGACAAATGTTTCCATCGAGCGCACAGCTAATATAACAAAAGCTAAAGTGCACTAGTGCGCAGTGGCTCTAATGGTCACTGGCAGCTGGATGACAACAAAACAAACACAATAGAGCAAACAAAAATGTCCTTAGGTAACCTTGGATTATAAGGAATCAACAAAAACAAACAAAAAAAAATGTTTTCGAGAAGATAATTACTCAAAAATACAACATAAATGTCCTCAGCTCTTTTTCTTCATTAAAAGGTTACAGTCATTTGTCAACTCCTTAGTAATTAAATTAATTAATTACATAGAGTATCCTTCTCAATAATTATTTAGCGCTGCAAGAAGTATAGCTTGCGTCTTGGGCATAATGTTCACTTGGGACAGGGTTAACAATGCTAACAGAGTCCGCAGAGTTAGAACTATTTTTTGTTCTTCGGAAGATTTTAGTAGGGTAAACTTAGTAAATTGTTTAAAGCTTGGTTTAAAGAAAAGACATCGAAAACACTGTATTATAATACAGATGGTCCTGGACTTACATCGGAGTTCCATTTCTACATCAGAACTCGCATACTGTACATAAGTACCTATAAATAAATACCTTGGTACATACCTGTACATAACTCACCGTGCGAGATTCTCCTTTTTTTTTTGGAAAACCAAAACATAGGGTTGAAGCTAACCTAAGACTCAGGGCTAGAAAACATTCGCTCCAAAACTTGCCAATGTAACAACGTGGATTATAAAACAACTCAGTCAGTATTTTCAGTCTGAATATACAGCTCTTTGTTGTGTTCTCACTGTCTGCATGTTCCGCCTTCAGCACCACCTAAACTACAGCTGCCAATCACACAGATGACAGCTAACAATGGCCCTGCAGACACATGTTTTTTTTTCAGCTCTGAGGTGTTATTAAATATGGCATTTCCTTCTAATGGGCCGTCAAAATTTAGTGAATATGGCAAAGAAGGGTCACAATGACCCGTGATTGATGTACTTGACAAAAGCTAGTGTTTTATATGGATGTTAGCAGAGGCAAGTGCTTTTGGAAAAAAGACCCTGCTGGGCAGCAATAGTACTACACGCAGACTTATAACAATCCACCAAAATGGTGAGTTGAGTCCACACCACGACCATAAGTTCATATTGAGTTTAACTTTTTAACCTTTAGAACTAGAAAAATATCTAGAACAGGGCTCTCAAAATCAAATCAGCCACGGACCACTGTACAAATCCAGTCTACAGTACAAATCCAGTCTACAATACAAAAAAAAAAAAAAAAAATATATATATATATATATTTTGGATACTGCTATAATCCAAACAGCTAGCAAACTATTCCCTCATTCTTAAATGACCAATTAAAGCATTTGAAAAAAATAGGAAAAAAGTTAGTTTAAGGGCAACATTTATTATATTGGAGGTTTAATGTGGGGGGCTTGCGGGCCATAAGTGGCCCCCGGGCCTGTAGTTTTGCTCCCGAGGGCTTGGCGTTTGTTTGGGAACCTTGTAGATTCTAGAACAGACCTGGGTTTGACATGCCCACGGACGCTGCTCCATACTGATGACATGAGGCTGTTGCTGTGAATATTGAAGCAGTTCTTCTTGTTTATTGCCTCGTTGCAGCACACATTTACAGTGTATGTGTGAGTGTCTGTGTTTATGTGCGACCAGCCTGAGCAGATGTGGTCTTCACACTCGGCCGCGTTCCACTGACATGACACTAGCCTGTGTTTTTGCAGCACGCGTTAGCTGAGCGGCGATATTGTTCAAACACTCCACCTTCACGGCCGTGCTAACACATTATGTGCCTGTTGAGACGTGCCATTCGCCACCGCCTGCTGATCAGTGAGTGCTGCAGCCGCACGACATGACGGTGAGAGTATAACGAGGCAGTGCACAGATGTTTCCTGCACTGTGTAAGGAGCTATGGGAAGATTAAAAAGGAGATTCTATGTTATTTTGCCCTTCATCTAAGATAAATATGGGTGAATGATGGTGAATGCTTCTTGTTTTTTCATTCAGTCTTTATGGAAAGAGAGTTCAGTTGCTGTGTCTGAACCTCAACCTGATCTTTCTCTTAATGATTCACCAGACTTTGAAAGGTGACAGATTTGGCCTGTAGTATTCAGGACAGACGTCTGATGTCTAAATACCTTTGTCAAGAAGCCCTGGAGCTGATGATGATTCACATGTAGTGTCATCCTTTATATACAGACACTTATATAACCTGGATCCTCTGATGTGAAAATCAGAGTTGTCTTCTTGATGTGGACATCAGTCTTTCGTTGTTCAGTGATTACCTTTGTCTGAATCTACTCTTTATGATGTCCAAGATATTGAATCACATAAACACCAGAGCATAACGTGTGTTGTTGAAATAAAGGTCCATTTTAGAGTAAATTATTTGTTACTGAAGGGATTTAATGCGATGGGTCAAATTATGTCCATATGAATGACCAGTAATTTATAATTTTCAAATTCAAACTCAAAACAGAATACGATGAATGGATGAGGGTGACCTATGACCTGGTTTTGAAATGTGTATCAGTATTTTTATTTTGCTCATTGTTAATATTTTGAATTTAATTTTTTATGTTATTGAGAAAAAAAATTGAAAAGTTGTTGTAGTCTGTTTCAAATTCAATATTTCCAATGAAAACAAATTGTCAGCACTAACCTGTTGAAAATGTTTGAATCCTGTTTGCTCCACAACTGTGTTTTAAACTTCTGCTCCTTGAGTGATTGAGTTTGACACCTGTGCTTTGGATGATTCAAGTTAGTGTTGCATTTGTTCGTGGTGCACGAACTTTATATGAATAGAATCTCACTGCAGCCGAGGAACTCTCTGACTTCTATTTGCAACAGTTTGCAGTTGGCGACCGTGCTGTGCTTATGTGAATCACTGATTTTAACAATACACCACGCAGCCCAGATTACACTTGGTTGTCTTTCAATAAAAAAAGGATCTAAATGGTGCACACAAGTCCTCGGAGTATTTCAAGCTCTCTCTGCCTTTTTCTGCCTGCCTTGCAGAGACACAACACGCTGTATGTTTATGTGTGTGTGTGCTTGTGTGTGTGTGTGTCATGCCAGTGGGGGCAGATTGGCTCTTGCTGGTTGAACTATCCCAAATGACTGCTTTTGCTCTTCCCATGCGGCCGCTGTCCCTGCTGTTAGGCTTTTGATGAAAATGCAGCTTTGTCCACTCAATGTGATTTTTGCTCATGAATTTCTGACCTTTATTTTTATTCTTTCAGTTCTTCAGCTGCTTGACAGCAGGAGTCCAATCAGTCAGGCTGCAGCACAAAAAATGGCCATAATATCTATATATATTTATATTTCTATCTTCCCCTTTTTGAACCAAAAAAACCAAAGGCACTTAATCGTGACGGCATACATGCAGACTTTTGACTCAACATCATTTGACCCCACTTAGTCCCGTACTCTGTGTTTTCAGCTTCTAAATGCACTCCTCCTGTCCTGTTTTTTATTTTGTGACAGCCTGTTTCCTTTTGTTGAGTCTTGAACAGCAGAGGGACACATCTGGGGAAGAAAGGCACCTCTCAGCAGGATGGAGGGCCTCATATTTTTCCATTTTAAAAGAAAATCTAAATTTATCTTGCATGTTTGTTTTCTTTCCTGAGGGATTTCATTTTTTATCAATGAACATGTTTTTTCCTCCTTTTTATTACTTCCGACTCTGCTCAGTGAAGCATGAGCACTTACCCGTGTTGTTGTGACAGTTGAATTTGTTCATTAGTAGCTCACAAAAAATATCTGTCACTTGGTTTAATTAACATCTCATTTCCTGCATGGCAGAAACCAAATAGTGAGGTTTTTATTCCATTTTTCCTGTCTTATTTAGTCAAAAGACAACATTTGCCTTTTGGATAGCCAGCTACACAAGTGCAGGAGGAACCATGAGGATAGTCAATTAATCTTTGATCATTCTTTTGAATGTTCATTATTCATGAGTCTGTGTCAACAAACCAGCAACATGGGACCAGGAAAAAATAGACAGAAATGTCTCTCCTTGATGTAAAAGGAGGAGGAATGAACTTGAATCTTTATTAATAATAATCTGAAAGACTTTGGGCTTTTAGTGGGCTCTTCTGTAGACCAATTCCATTTTATTTGTAAAATCAGAAACTAACTAGCAAGTTGTGGCAAGTTGTTTACTTAAATGTTTTTAATATTAACCCAGGAAGTAGGGGCTAATGAGTGCAAGTACACTCCTGTAAACAGGACTACTGCTGCAACCCAAATTCTCTGGATTTTCATTTTAATATGGGTTGAGGCAGGGAAAGGAACTATTGAACTATTTTATGTCAAAAACCTCCTTTTCTCATCCAGCATGCAGAGGGGCAGCTGTTGCTGCAACAATAATGTCCCTGTTTGTCTTAAGATCAGTTTTTGTATTTGAGTTTATGTGCAATTCTGAAATTTTGAGCCATATCAGACTGATACAGATCATGAGTATTAAATCAAGCCGGCCCTCTAGATAGTTAACCTGCTTTTTAAGGAGCCTTACAGATCAGTGTTTGGATCAGTAGTTTGCATTTGTCCCATCATGGCACACAAGTCTAACTTCTAATGTCTTAGATCCTCCCAATGACACATACATTTCATCAGCCCCAACAAAAGCCCCTCCAAATGAATTTTTACCCTGGTGTGTACCCAGAGAAAACATCTTTATGTGGTGAAAGATCTCGATAGAGTGTGTCCTCAGGCACTACCTTGGCCAGCCTGTGTTTTTCAGGAGAGCGTCCAGAATCGATGCACTCTGACTGTTTGAACATCTGCAGTGGCAATGAATTACTCGTGTGGCTCCCCTGTGGTTCCACCTACACCTCGGCAGCTGCAGCAGAGGAATCTGGCAGCACTGCAGACACAGCTCCCCTCAAACCTAAAGTACCCCCCCCCCCCCCCCCCCCCCCCCCCACCCACCCGTCGTAACAGCGCCTCCCACACTACCTCACTAATAGAGATGATGCTATCGCTGCAGTCCCGACACTGCTGCTCATTGTTCACTACGTTACTCCTGCTCAGAGGAGTTAAGGGAGGAGCCCCCCCCACACACACACACACACACATCACTCTGCCCTGTGTGTTTGCATCAACTTAGAATGAGCTATTGTCAGCTTGCGCTTTAAGAATATGTTAGCATTGGAGTCCAGTCTTTGATTCAGTGTTTCCTTATTTTTGCACTAATAAAGTACCTACCAGGTTATAGTTTTCATCTAAAATATATAGTCACAACTTACATAACTTATTCTAATGGATGCATCAGCGGTGCAGTCACAACTTCTTATTTTATACATATTTTATAATATTACCAATACTGGGTGCTGCAGGCAAATGTAGATGTGGAAAGTTACCTTCGGTGTCATTTGCAGGTGTGATCGAGTCCAATGTTGTGAGTTCTAAGTTTTAAGTATATATTTCTTTAAGTATATCAACATTTGTGCAACTGGAGCTTGTATAGGTGTGCCTATATATAACCACATACAACATAGAGTGTTCATTATGTTGAATCCCGTCGCCCTTTAGCCTTTTCTGACAGGCTCGTATTTGGCTGTGGGCCATGTAATGACTTTCTGTGACTCTGGAGAGAAGAGAGAAGTAGCTTTATTTTGGCAGAGCAGTGAGACGATATTGAACAGGAAGTAGAGTGAAGTCAGTGGAGAGCATGATTGAGCAGACAGCGCAGTGATGACAGCGAAAGATGTGGAGCATCTAATGGAGTGGGCTGAGGGTAGCTGGGGGCTGCAGCTCCTCCATTAACTGCCATTTTTATTTGCCCCGTTAACGGTAGGCGACGCCAGTAGCAGTGGAAGAATTCAGATGGACGCCCCCAAACAACCTCTCTTCCTCCCTTCATAACTGCCACACCAACGCATCCCACCCCCCTCCACCCATATAAAGATGAGTAATGTGTGCAACACCATGCAGCCAGTGGAGGAATATATTATCCCCCCGGCTCAGGTGGCAGTGATGAATGTCTGGGACGGAGTTGCTGCACAGTCACCCAGGCAGCTCCACGAGCCCAGGAGAGGCAGGGAGAGCGAGGGGCACGCTGATCATCACAGAAAGGAGTGGGGGTGGAATACCTGAAGCAGTTAGATTTCTTCACTTTTAAGTGCACTCCTCACTGACAGGACTGGGACACACTGCCCGGAGACCACCCGCTCCTGCTGTAGCCATAAAGCATGGCTGGAAATCTGCAGGGGGATCTCTGCAGGATCAACAATCTCATTCCTCCCTCTCTCACGCTGCACCAAAGTAATAGTTGTATATGTGTGTGAGCCCACAGATGCCTGCAGTGACCATTATACCTGGATAAGTTAAAGACGATGACAACTTCACTGCTGCGAGTGTGGTTTATGAGCATCTGTCTCTCCAAGGTTGTTTCTCCCTCTCCCTCCCTCCGTTCCTTCTATCGGTCATCTTTTCAGCCTAATGACAAACAATGCCGTGCTGAAGCAGACCCCGTCATATTTACTCTGTAATTAACAGGTTTGTGTTTCAGCTAAAGTGGTTTTTGCACAGTGTAGGTCATAGGTAGGTCAGAGACACTGTTTACTCCTGACGTGTGGTTCCAGGTGAGGAGTTGTGAAATGGATGAAGGCACATTAGCAAAACCCAGGCAGTGTTTCAGAGGACGGTGGTGATTTATAACCTGCCACTGAGACTTGGGTTTGACTTGTTTTGCTATTTTATATCGCAGTAATGGGGGCTGATAGACTCCACCTGCAGCCCTGGTTGGCTGCGCACCCCCTGACTCGCTAGTATCGCACTCTAGATGCAACATATGTGACAGGCACTACGGCCAGTCTTCTTAGTTTGCACGACCTCAAGCCACTGTGAAGCAGCAGTAGTTGGTGTGAGGTCAGAAACAAAAAAAAGTAATCTAATAGGTAATATGGTCGTACAGGTAACAGTGGACTGGTCATGGATTTTTGTTATGAATGTTTGGCCTAAAAGAATCCTCCGACAGGTGGAGAAATAAGGAGGAGCTATTTCTAAGCACAACTTACTGTAGAAAGTGTTTTATGTGGAAAAGGCTGCAGCATGGAATGCTGAATGTGCTTGAAGTTGGAGCCCTCAGGCAATATGAGGCACCATCATACTTTGATGGTTAGAGCTACACAGCCTCCCACTGCATCAGATTGTTTAATGCCTTTTCCAAGGAAGTTTTAGCAGAATCTATCTAGAAGAAGAAGAAAAAGGAAGTGGATCTTTATAGAAACAGGAAGTGATGGTTAGACTGACTTTTTTATAGTTCCATTGAATTAATTGAATGTCTTGTGTATAATAAAACACAGAAAAGACTATGTGTAGCTAAAATCAGCAAAAACCTGAAAATAATCCTTGTTTGGTTTATTACTTAGAGTAAATAAGTCTGAGCCAGCAGTTCTAGAGTGTCTGGACCTTTGAATGTCTTAAAGTTTACCTTAGTTTCTTCCTTCCAGTGAAAACACTTAGAAACCATTGGATGTCCTTTATCTGTGAAGTATGAGTTGAGCTAATGAACAGTTTAATTGCATTGGGAAGAAAAATTCCCAGAATAAGGCTTCTTCAAATCCTTAATTTTCCTAAAGGGAACTCCTGAGGAATTATTAAAATTCTATATATCTATCTGTCTATCTATCTGTCTATCTATCGATCGATCCACCCATCTATCTAGCTATCATAACATTAACAGAAATGTATACTAATGAACTAAAGCATTTGAAATAGTATAGGATGGAGCCAACTTGGACAAACAGAGATTTAAACCTTTTTATTTTGGCCCAAACCCACTTTTCTAATTAGTGCTGCTGACAGATATATTGGCATTAGCCTCCAACATAGGCTCACATTGATGCAGCAGCAGAGTGGTTTGGCATCTCGCACTGATGGCGATCATGTTTGGTTTGCCTTCACAGCAAACATAAATGGGAGCAGATTGGGAAACAGAAGACACATTAACCACAACATCCTGCCTCTAATATAAATCAGCCTCAAACACAGGGCTGCTCCACCACAGTGGAGCTGATTAACAGGCACTGTTGGAGAATTCACAGTCAGCACAATTTTAATCCTTCGACTCCTCGTCTCTTACTGTCTCGCGCACACGCACGGGCGGCACACGCGTTTGGCGGTCTCCCCTCTCGATTTGATATTTTCCACAGCAGATGCTCTCATCCTGAATGACATTTGAGAGACTTTCATGCAGCCTCGTCGGCCGTGCCAGGGATAATGGTTTTTGTTCAGCCTGTGGTTCAAAGCAACAACAGCTTACTGTAACACAGGAGATCGGACACACATATGGGGCATTTGAGGATAACACTGATATTTGCATGAGGATGCTACCAAGAAAAAGACATGATTAAAAAGTCTTTTCGTTTTTTAAGCTGCCGGAAAATGCCGTCGGCGGAATTAAACCCAGAACCGTCTTGTTTTGGGGACTTTATTGTCTGTCCTCCTGTTGGAGGACCTACTCTTAATTATAATCACTGCCTACACATGTACTAATCATCCCGCTTTAATCACTGCTGGAGAGCCTCCTAAACAAGGTATTTATCCAGTCTAATTGCCATGTTCCCTGAGCATTATGCAAAGAGGACAGACAGGAGACAGATGCAGAGATTGTAAGACTGTTGAATCTGTGGAAATTCACATCAGAGGAACGTTAAAGCGCTGGCTCCTAAATGAAGAATCCTTCAGTGTTCTTTGCTTCGTCGTCCGTGTTCTATTAAAAAGTCACACTACAGTGATTTGCCTGGTGTGGATGTTAATTGTGTTTGTTGGTTAATTACACAGACTGTACATCCAATTAGATGTAGTGTTGTTAGTTCATCAGATAGAAATGAGTAGAGAATCAGCATCGCAATTAAACTTATTTAAATGCATCTTATAGAAATTGAAATCTCTCACTGATGACCTTCATGACCTAGATTACTGCAACAATCCATGTATAAATTTATGGCTAGTTAGATACTTAAAATGCATAGATTGTTTAACTATGAAACAACAAATCATCTAAAGTCCTACTGCGCAGTTATTTCTCTATTGGTGTCCCACATCACACTCATGTACTTTTCTGCCACACCTGGCAGTCAAACGACACAGTTAATTAAATTTTACCTATTTTTATTATCTTGTTCATTCAAAAAGGATTGTCGTTCACATTATCTTGTTCATTCAAAAAGGATTGTGACAAAAAGGATGTCTTCAGATGAACTCCCAAACCAAACATCTCTGTAACCTCTTTTCCTTGATGTTTATGTTTATGTTTTATATACATTCAACTCTCAAATGACTCCTTCCACCTTCTCACCACACGATCAAAGCCAGAATAAACTGGTTATAGGTCACCAATTTCATCATGTTTTAAGCTATTTTTCAGATGTTGGATGTCAGAATTAACATTTTTAATTGTGTTTTTTTCCGTTCAGATATACATGACGAAAATGGGTTGAAACCAGTCATGGTTTACATCCATGGAGGCTCTTTCATGGAAGGAACGGGCAACATGATTGACGGCAGCATCCTGGCCAGCTACGGGAACGTCATCGTCATCACTATCAACTATCGGCTCGGTGTTCTGGGTAAGTCTTCCTATTTGTGCCTTTAATTAGTTTGGAGGAGGTTGAATTGAATTAGAGGACTCATTGATCAGCTGATAAATGGAAGAACCATTTACTCCTACTCTTTTTGCCTGCTGGCCCATCTCAGTAACGATAACATTTCCATTGATGACTGCAGGGGCGGCCTGTCAAAATTGCTGAACCCATGATGTGGTTAGTTTTTACTGTGCCAATCATCTGTCAGGAGAAATGTGGGAGTCACTTTGCATTTAGCAGAATTTTGAATTTTCTTGTTATTTGACAATATCTGTATTTTTCACAGTAATTCCTTCTACACACACACCTAAATAAAAGTAGGTAGGTTAAGAGTCAAACTACATATATCTATCACCTCTCCTAACATTTGATCTTGTTAAGGTCACACCATAGAGACGTATGTCTGATGAAAGAGACACATTGTCTCCAATTTATGGTTTCCATTTAAATATTTTGCTTCAGTTTGGTTTTAATTCAAACCTTACAAACTGTCAGAGCCTGGAAAAATACTGAATAAGAAAAAGTCAGGCAGCTTTTAAAGATGGGAAAAAATAGATGTTCATTTTCCATCATTGTGTTAAGGTACAAAGAGAAAAAGCTGATGTGGTAAAAAGCACTAAAATTCATATTATAATAAAACAGATATGTGTGGCACCTCAGCTCCTCACCCATAACTTACACCTGTGACCTTTTCAGTTACGTGGATGACTGCAGCAAACATCAATCACCCTCAAGCATTTCAGGGAGAAAAGTTATGTGCTGGTGTCAGAGCCAGAATCTACACTGAGATGTGCATTTTATTCTGCTCTCCTCTGTAGGAGGAAAGTCAGTTCTGGCTCACACAGCTGCTGTGCCTTGTTTCTGAGTTAAAGTGTGGGTGCTGAATCTTACTGTATGCACACATCCATAATTACATGGACCTTCATAGTGTTATAGCTAATAAAACTTTATTTAAAAAGTTTAATTTCTGTAAATGAAAGAGTTCCTTCTGTCTTTAAAACTGAGCCAGGTCGAAGGACGGCTTCTTCCACTGCTCACTACATAAATCAGCTGATTTGCAATAGAAACTAATTTCTACAATATTAGGTTATAAGCAAATTATATTTGCCCTGATACAATTTAGAAAGTGCACCAAGTGCTCATATTTCACCCCATAAAGGAACGTGGATAGTTTTAGCTTTGATTAATGGCAGTATGGTAGCGATGCCACTTTCACTTTCACCCTTTTTTGGTGCAGCGGGCAAATTTGTGTCCCTCTTTATTGTTTGCAGAGGGGGAAAAAAAAATTTAATGTGCTTTCCTTGCGTGTTGTTTATTGTGTCTTGAAGTAAAGCCAGGGTTCATCGTAGCAGCGCCACTGCCACTGCTGTTGCCGCCTCGCTCTGCTTACCATTTGTTTTAAGGCCGAGCTGTCTGCACCAGTCCCTATATTTAGTTGCCTGAGAGCCGCAGGGAGATGGTGTTCTGGAAACATGTGGACTGCGGAGAGGGGGAAAAAAAGAGAGATGAGAAGAGGAAGGGAATACAGATCAGAATACAGATGAGACAGTGAGTGTGTGGGGGGGTGAGTGGTGGAGATAGAGAAGTAGGCTGATGATGTAGTTGATACAGAAAGATCCTGAGGGATCTATCTGTCTATATATCTATCATCTACTGTATCCATCCATCCATCTATTCATCCATCCATCATCCATCCACCCACCCACCCATCCATCCACCCATTCATCCACCCATCCATTCATCCATCCATTCATTCATCCATCCACCCACCAATCCATCCATCCATTCATCCATCCATCCATTCATCCATCCATCCACCCCCCCATCCATTCATCCATCCATCCATTCATCCATCCACCCATCCACCCATCCATCCCCCCATCCATCCATCCATCAATCCACCCACCCATCCATTCATCCATCCCCCCATCCATCCATCCACCCCCCCATCCATCCATCCACCCCCCCATCCATTCATCCATCCATCCACCCCCCCATCCATCCATCCATCTTTCTTTTTTTTCTATCTGTTGTTATATCGTTCTGTCTGTCTCTCTGTTCTGAGGCAGTATGATATGATGTCAACTGTTTACTTTCTCTTTTCTCTTAAGTATACAATGTTTAGCTTGTCCGTAATAACAGCCAAAATATATTAGCATTTTGTCATTTTGAAATTACAATGTTCTTATCTCACTCTTCCACTCTTTGTTGACAACCGTGTTGATGCTCTGCTCACAAAACAAGCAGGAATCACCTACATGAAATAATAAGCGATGAAACGGCTGTTTTCCACAGGTTCTGTGAGTATTAGCAGTTACTTACACTGTACATGTCTGTTGTGAGACAACATGACAAACGTAAACCCTGTATACTTAAAGGTGAAAAACCTTTCTACCTTCTCCTGACTGACACTCTTCTTTTTAGGTGAGTTTTTCTCACATTTAAAACCAGGTCCAGATGTTCAGGTTGCACTCCACCTCCTGAACGCTGTATCTCTTTCAAATTAATCTGAACAGATGGGTCAAAAATCAACCAACGGTGAATGTTTGCCCCGGAGGCCACGTAACATGTCAGTCACACCACGCCTACAATGTTCATCCATATGTTGTCTAAAAACTGCACAGCTCAAAGCATTTTAGCACGTCTGTGTTACAGAAGCTTGATGGTGTAAGTACAGTACTCTTTTAAATATTTTAACATTAAGCTGAGCACAAATGACACAAAAAATAATAATAAAAATCAAAGTAGGCCTGGTTCAGATGCAGGAGCAGAGATGCAGAACAGTACCTAACAGTAACCTGTTCCAAAATAGTGTAAAAATGTCAATTTCCTTTTTTTTTTTATGACTGCACATTGCAAGAATTAGTCTAGTGCTAAATTCAGATGCTGCCATTTGTTCTCCGATGGGGATGGTGACATCACCTACTGACATATCTAAAGCCCCATTTTTAGTGTCTTTTTTTTTCTGCTGAAAATCTGTGAAACCACACAGCAGTTCTCCGCCCTCTCTAACTGTCTGGGCACTGAGGTTCAAGTGATTCCAGGGGAAAAAAATAGCAAGGTGTTGAGAAGCAATGGAGCCTGATGCGGTGAGAGTGAGAGAACAGTGTGACGCCAGGCTACAGCAGACGTCTTGCTTAAAAGGCATGTGAACCCTAGAGAGAGACAGTTTTACCGACTTTACAGTCCAGAGTGCAGCAGAGGATTTAACCCTTCACTTCCTGCTGGACAGACAGCTGTAGATGTCCTCCTGCTCATATTCCTAAAAAGCACATTGAACCACGGTAACAGGACACGTATGGAGTGAAACAGTGAGGAGGATTCCATCTGATATTTCCTCTCTATACGTTCTTATTTACAGTATCACATAAAGCCACTTTTATGTAGTACAGCAAAATACAAGGAGTAAATGTTATCAGTTGCTTGTTTGGAAATCTGTCCTGGTTGTTTAGATGTTACCATAATAAACTCCACTCCACATGGTTGTTCAAGTCAAGACTGTGAACAGGTTAAACAGGTTAATGTTTTTTTATTATTATTTTTATTTAATAAAGTCAGTGCCCACTTCACATACATTGAAGTAGAATCTAATTTTACATTTGTTACCCCATAAATCAATCAATCGAAACATCAAGTACTGTCCGGTGGTGAAGACTTGTACTTACTGTTGAGATTACAGCAATGCAGATTTTATGGATTAGTCAGGATCAGGACAGGACTAGAACCA